AATGACTCACTGTGGCATCCCTGAGGCCATGGGTATGGCTACTTTTCATGCATAACCAGCATGATGATGAATGAGTAGGTGTGGCAATGTCTCAAAAACATTCCAAGGCTGTGCCCCATTGTCTGGTGTTCATGGAAGGCAAGTCTAGATAAGTCTCCAAATCCCTTTATTATTAATGGTGTTAAACTCCTACCATAAGCATCAGTGAAACCCTTATTGCCAAGACTAAATGCCATCTGGTGAATCAAAGGAAATTTTGCATATTCTTTTTTTTTTTTTAAAGATGTATTTGTTTATGCATACAGAACTGGGGTACAGGCCAGAAGTGCAGGGGTGGTGAGACAGAGTAGGGAGACAAGAGTAGGGAGCAGAACAGGGAGATCGTCAAGGCACACTGCTGAGGGTCAGGAGAGCTCTGCCACGCCATGTGGGTCACCTCCAGGGCAGACGGGGATCAAATTCATGCTTCTTAGTACTGTGCTTTAATCCACTGAGCTACCATGGAGGGCCCAATTTTTGCATATTCTTGCTGTGATTATTGCAATTATCTATTCCCAGCACAATTTTCTCAGAGGTGTTTGTAATGTGGATGGACAGTTTTTCTCGTTTGTTATAATTTCAAACTTAAGTTGCAGAAAAGTACAGCGATTCCCATATGCTCTTCAATCCATTCACTTTATTATTCTATTCACTTTATTCCATTCACTTTATTATTCTATGTATGTACGTGTGTATTGTGTATTTGCATACATAATTTATTTTCTGAAGCATTCAGAATAAGTTGGACATTGTGCCTCCTCTCTCTCTCTTTTAAAAAGATTTATTTAAGCATACAGAACTGGAGTACAGCCAGGGGCCACAGGTGAGAGGCTTCACCAGAGACAGAGTGGGGAGCAGAACAGGCAGACTGACAAAGTACACTGCTGAGGGGAGCCGTGGGCAAGACAGGAGAGGTCCGCTGCACCATGTGGCTCAGCTCCCTGACTGGGGATTGAACTTGTGCTGTAGTGGCTGCCAACAGCTTCATAGTGCTGAGACTTAACCCCTTGTGCCACCAGGGAGCCCCCATTGGTTCTCATCTCTTAAGCAAATGTATTTCCTAAGAACACAGACAATTTCTTACATGCTATAGTACATTTATCAAAATCAGGAGCTTCAAATCTTATATTATCTAGTCCATATCCCATATTTAAATTTTACCAATCATCATAATCATGTTCCTATGTAAATTTATTTTTCTGGTCTAGAATCTCATGCTTTGCATTATTGGCTCCCATCAGTCACAGACTACTAGGTTTTTGTGATCAAATTTATATTTTTTGATGCTTGTCTTAATGTCTGTATTACATCTGAGAAAAATAGATTGAACGCTTAGGCCTTGCTGCCTTTTACAGTGCTTCAGTCTGTATCTTCACTTCCCAGAAAGTCTTCAGTCAAATATGCGTGTGCACTTGGAAAGAATCCTGGTTTTGAGTGTTTCTCTGTCCCTTCATGCTGACACATCACTTACAAGACAGCTACCTGTGCCTTAAGGTCTTTAGAAAGAGGTGCCTGATGGGAAAACCAGTTCAGGGCATCCACACTTTGACTCAGGGTTGCTGGCCACCTTACTCAACATGAGCCTTTCCAGGCTGATCTGCCTTTTGAGTTGATCCAGTTTGATGGAAAGGCTTCACACAGAGCATCTGTGCATCCATCTGCCCCCTCTGTTATCTGCAATTTCCGGAGAGGAAAGGCTGGAGGAGGTTGGCAGGAGGCCCAGAGTGCACTCTTAGGGCAGCGAGGCCCTCTTGTGGTCGACTTCTGTATGTTCTGGCAAAAGAGTGGCCATAAAAGGAGATGGCGCAGAATGAGAAGGCCATAACAAAGTAACAGCCTGGGAAGCTTCAACAGTAGAAATTAATTTTCTCATAAAGTTGGGTGCTTGCAGTCTGAGATCAAGGTGCAGCTTTGGTTGATTCCTTCTGGGGCCTCTCTTCTTGGTTTGGAGCTGGTGTTTTCCATCCTGTGTCTTCTCATGTTGGTCCATCTCTGCTTCCGTGTTCACCAGTCACATTACAACCTGATTTACCTTACGTAACAACCCGATTTTACCTTAATTAACTCTTTAAAGACCCACCTTCAAATTCAGTCACATTCTGAGATCGTAGAGCTCAACATACATGCTTTGGGTAACACTAAGAATCTTTAGTTCAAATCTACTATTTTAGGAAGAGGTTAGCTGAGTAGCTTCAGGTCACACAATTAGTAGACAGCAGAGACCAAATCCAATCCTACTTCTACAGAATGCATAGATTTTCTCTACTCCTTTGTGTTTGTGAAAAGCCTAAAGCAATCTCAAAATGTTTCTCAAAATGTTTCAAAATGTTTAAGCCACTGCCGCATGAGTTCGATCCCTGCCTGCCCCGAGGAGATCCACATGGCATGGCAGACCTCCCCTGACCCGCCCGCTGCTCCCCTCAGCAGTGTACTTCATCGATTTGCCTCTTCTGCTCTCCACTCTGCCTCTGGTGAATCCTCTCACCCTCCGCATCTCTGGCCTGTACCCCAGTTCTGTATGAATGAATAAATAAATCTTTAAAAAAAGAACGTTCTTAACTGACAGGGAAGACTCAAAATTCTAAAGCCTGAAATTGGCTAAAAGGCAAACCATCTATGTCTATCTGACTTAGGAGTTTTATTTTATTTATTTTTTTTATTGTTCAGTGGATAATTTTTTAATTTAAAAAAGCCATAGGGCTATGAAGCAACCCACAGCCCTGAAGCACCAGCTCCATCCCCACCCAGGGAGCTGACCCACATGGCTAGCAGACCTCTCTTGTCTCACCTGCTGCTCCCCTCAGCAGTGTGTTTCAGTCAATCTGTTGTTCCGCTCTGTCTCTGGTGAATCTGCTCAACCCCCACAACACTGGCCTGTCTCCCAGTTCTTGAATGCATATATGTAAATAAACCTTTTAAAAATATATCAATATCTCCTTTAAAAACAATAAAAAGGCATATATTTAAATAACTCTAAATGGAAAAAACATGATGAATATAAAGCCTGATTATATACACTCATTTAAAAATATATTTATTGTTCTATGACAGTTTTATATGACCACACACCTAATATTTTGTTTTACTGCTTCACTTTATATAGCCATAGATGCCGTACGAGGAAAACTGCTTAATGGTTACAGATCATTTTCTCCTAATGTTACTGCAGAGTAAGCAAAACCATTCTTTTCTCTATCCTTTCCCCTCTCTCCTCACATATACAACTATAATATAAAACAAGTAATACTAAGTGCTTACTCTACAAAATGCTTAATGTATATGATGACCATATTTTTCATAAATATTTTTAAGGTAATTTTGAACTTTAAGGAAAATTGCAAGAATAGTACAAACAACATATTATTCTTCACCCAGATTAATATTTTATGCCATTTTCTCTCTCCATGTTTATGTTTATGCATGTAATTGTTTTTTTGGAATAATTCGCAGGTTCCATACATCTTAAGCTTTAGCCCTAGAACATTCATAGTATATTTTCTAAGAATAAACATTATTTTACTTAACTGTAGAATAATCATAAACAGGTATATTTAACATTGATACAGTTCTTTTAACTAAACTTCTGTCCATATTCAGTTTTGTCAATAGATCTGGAGATGTCCTTGATAGCATCCTGTTCCTTTGGAACAGGATCCTGCTTACGGGTGCTAACGAATGGGGCCACTCTTATTTCTTTCAGGCATCTGGCAGAATTGCATTTCCCAAAGCACCTGAAGTTAGGTGGGACTTGCCTTGCCTTGTGTGATTTGCCTTGGCCAAGTTGATGTCATTGGGTGGAAACTTTGTAAGCCAGCACAAGTTCTCACCTTTTCTCTGTGGTGACCAGCCATGCTCAAGATGGCGGCCACTCCATAGTACAGGTGCTGGATAGGAATAACACAGAGCAGATATATGGATATATGTTGTAAGTGACAAATAAACCTTTGTTGCTTTAAGCCCCTGAGATTGGGGGATTGTTTATTATTTCATGGTAAACCAATTTACAGAGGTTGATTTACCAGCCTGCCCTGTTCCTGTTTTTAATTCATATATATATATATATATATATATATGTATGTATGTATGTATGTATATTAAATATGCATACAGAACTGGGGTACAGGCGAGATGCAGGGGAGGTGAGAGTATTCACCAAAGACAGTGGAGAGCAGAACAGGCAGAATGATGAAGTACACTGCTGAGGGGCAGGTCAGGAGAGGTCTGATGCGCCATGTGGGTAACCTCCTGGGCATGGATCGAACTTGCACTGAAGCAGCTGTGGCTTGCTTGCAGCGCTGTGCTTTAACCTGTTGTGCCACCGGGGAGGGCCTCTCCATCCCTTTGAAAGTGGTTACTGCTGCAGCAATCACAAGAGAAATCTTAACTATCCCTGATTCGTATATGTACTCTCCAGAACACTGCCCTCAAAACCAATTCTTTACTCAGAGAAAGTAGAACTCCTTTGAAGAAAGTTTACTCCATGTGTTGGAACATGAAAAAAGCAGGTACATTTAAGATATATTGTTTCCAGAAAGCAAAGATGCTTTCAAGAGCATTAGGGTCATGCTAGAAGGACAAAAGAGCTATCCAATGGGATGCCCACTGTCCACGTTGGAATACCAAGCACATAAAATAAATAGCACAGAGATAATGCTGAATTAGAACAAGTGGATGCTAATGAGACTACATTCGTGCTATTTAGCAAAAGACATGTTAAGATAAATCACTATAAGATATTTGTAAGATAAAAACAGAAATCTTAACGTGAAGGAAAATATTAATATATGTGGATATTTTGGTTCTTCTATGGTGCTTGTGGATCCAGTATATGGATCCATGAGTGTTTCTAACTGATGAAACAGGAGAGTGGGTCCAGGAACTGTGGAAGGCACAGAGAGTGGGAACAGCAGTGGGCTTGGTTGTTCTTTAAGCTTAGGTGGCCCTGGGATAGTCCCATTGCCATGGTCGTCCCTCTTCCTGATGCCAGGCAGCTGTATTTCTTTCCCGTGGGGCTTCACCTGGCCATTCACATCCATGTGGCACCTATGGCACGTTACAAGAACCCCTGTGATCAGTTTTCATTCCATGGGAGTAAGTGGGTGAATCTCCAGCTTCTTCCCCCTTGGTAGGGTAGTTCTGGGGTACCTGTTCTGATTTGTCTGCAGATTCCCCAGCAGGATTAAGCTGAATTTCCTGATCTGGCGCCTGCTTGTCTCAAACACTATGTCTTCCCTGTCTCCTTCAGACTTCCCCACAGAGGCTTCTAGGAATCTCCTCCCACATAAGCCATTGCAGTTTAAACCTTGTCTTGTGTCTGCTTTGGGGGGTCTCAAACTATACCACCAACTAGAAAGGAAATGTAGCTGTAGATTAACACTGGTTGTCGTCTATTATAGCCATTTAAAAAATAGAATTTGGTGGTAGATTCAAAAGTAAGAAATTAGCCAGATATCCCATAGAGAAGTGTTAATTATACCACCTTACTCTTTTTTTCTCATAGGAGATGAAAATCTTACTAATTGTGGTAAAAAGCCTGTTGACCTTGAGCTCAAGATTTCTCTTGAAGTGGCACAAAAATTCTTTTATATTCTCTAATTGAGAGTTGAACAATTGATTAAATTTTGAGACTAAGGACTTTTTTGCTTTAGTACAAAGATTTTATTACACTAATGTCCAGATGGATCACAGCTTGTTTCTCCATGTGAGAACATGGAACAAGGGTGACATGATAATAATGATACCTGCACATTTGTTTTCTTGTATTGTACAAAGAATAAATTCTTCCCTAAAATGCACAAATATTAGTAGGTACTTAATTGCATACTTCTTGCAATTTATTGAGATGTGCATTTTGAATCCACAGTTAAGAACCCCTTATACGGGCGGTTCCTAGAGGACATGTTGTAGCTACGAAAAGGAATTGCTTAAGTCATCAGAAAAAAAGGACTATTGTAAAAAAGTTCTATAATTGAGAGCTTGACGGATAAAGGACACAAAGCTGGGGTCCTTGGGCCCTTGAGCTCTTCTAAAATTAACAAGCTCCCTTGCGATTCCTTCACAATTCTTAGTGGGGCAGTCAAAAGAAAGTCAGGCTTCTCTTGCCCTTCTAACCCTGCATTCGATCACAAAGCAATAGGCTTTAACAATCACGGAACAAAAACCCCATTGCCCAATTTAACCTTCCAACCCCCTGAGCTGTATGGTTGGCTAATCCAGCTCACAAAAGCAGGCCTGCTGCTCTTTTATTCTATTCGAGGGTGGGCGCAATATTGAGCCCAACAGCTGATGTGCCCTGGATCATCTCAGTCGCTTGCCTGAGGCCTGCGATGTTTGTTTAGCTTGCTGCAGCTTGGGGTGGGTCACCTGGAGCCAGCTTCGTACGCTCTCGCCCGCCCTCGGAAAACCGTGTCCCGGCGCCATCACATCTTCCAGACCCACGGGGAGCATTACGCGAGCACTGAGGAGGCGCAGGGCGCCGCAGCGTCTGGCCATCTGGCAGAGGGCAGGGTCGCCACGCGGAGACTGGAGGCGCCGCAGGGGTTCGGCGAACGCGTGGCCGCCCACATCCAGCGGGCCCGAGCCCTCGAACAGCGCCACCGCGTCCTCCCCTGGCGGTTGGATGCCTTCCAGCGCCTGGGAGAGCTGGCGGGTCCGGAGGATGTGCTGGCCGGTCAAGTCCGGAGCAACTGCCAGCTAGCCCGGGACTGGTGGCGGAGCACGCCCGACTGGAACTCCAGGGCACAGAGGCGCAGCGCGCGCTCGCTTCGATGAGCTCCAGAGCAAGAAGAGTGTCAGAGGTGGGGGGCTCTCAAGGGGTTGATGGTGGGGCTGGTGGTGGTGGTGGGGGTGAGGGGCTCTGTTCTGAGGGCAGGATGTCACCCGCAGTTGGAAGGCCAGCTGTGGTCCCCTGGCCACCTCATCTCTGCAGAAGACATGGGCGTGGTGTATTTTTCCCTAAGATAAGACTACATTCCATTATGACGGCACTTCAATTTATATGAAATGCTATCATTTGCTTTTACAGAATTTTAAAATTAAGGTATAATTTACATACAATAAATTGCAGGTTTTACGTTAAGCACAGTTCATTGAGTTTTGGCAAATGTGTATGTCCAGGCAACTACTTTCCAGTAAATCTGCATCTGCACGACCCATTCAGAGCAGTACCCAGTGCTCTGATTTCTATCATCTCATATTAATTTTGCCTGTTCTAGAATTTCACAGAAACTTTACAGATGTACTCAAGTGTCTGGCTCATTTTATTCCGCACAGTGATTTTGAGAGGTATCAGATGCTGGCTCATCCTCACAGCCTCATCCTGCTACATATGATACTGCACCCCTTTTACAGAGGGGAACTCTGAAGTTCAGAAAATGTAGGGACTTGAGGCAGAGTCTCAGCTTGTGAATTGCTGCTCTGGCGCTGGAATTCAGTTTCTGGGCTTGTGGAGTGTAAACATTTTTGGAAATCTGGGAGTTGTTTCAATGCGACCTCTAGGGTCTGTTGGGGGAAGCAGCTCATGGATTAGTGGTTTGGGCATGTTTGTTATGGAGAATACTGGGCCTAGCTCCCTCAAGCTCCAGAACAAAATCTGTAGTCCTCCAAAATAATTGGTCATTTAAGATGTTAAACATTTAAATGTCCAGGGCATATCCCCTCCTTCAACAGACTGAATTATATCACTTGAGAGCTGTTAAAAAGAAAAAAGGATGCCCAGCAACCTGTCAACATCTTGCAGGTTATAAATGTGTGCACGATTTGAATCAGCAGGGCTGCTTCAAGGAGTGCATTCTGTGATAATCCGACAGGTGTAAAAAGCCATGTCTGTGACATTGACTGAAGTGCGATCTGCAAAAGCACAAGCTTGGAACCAACCTAAATGCACACCAGTAGGAGACACGTTATCAGACTGTGCTTCATTCTTGCAATGGAATACACAATTATTCTTACACAATTATTAAAAAGCATGGTGGTGTTAAAGAAAAGGGGAAGAGTAGGAACTTTTTGATTGCGTGAGGGAAAAGAGTTCCTGGACACAGCACATACAAAAAACCCAGTGATGCCATTCTGTGGGGGTTAAGGAGTAGAAAGTTAGCAAAGGGTAACAAAGTGAGAGGGAGACATTTTTTTTAAAAAAAAGATTTATTTATTTATACTTACAGGACTGGGGTACAGGCCAGAGGTGTGGTGGGTAAGAGGATTCACCAGAGACAGAGTGGGGAGCAGAACACGCAGATTGAGAAAATACACTGCTGAGGGGTTGCACCACCAGGGAGAGCCCAAGAGGGAGACATTTGACTGAATATATTTTGTCTTAAAAATTATCTGTGGCCCTCCCTGGTGGCGCAGCAGGTTAAAGCACAGCACTAATAAGCTTAAGCC